ATTACTAGAATCAGAAATGAAGGAGAGGAAATTAGAAAAAGGATTTTACTATTTTGCTAATTAATTATGCTAATACATTGGACAACTTAGAATGAAATGGGCACATTCCTACAAAAACACAAATGACTGAAACTGATGCAAGAATAACAGAAAATTTGAATGGACCTATAATAAATAGGTTAAATTAGTCATCAAAACAATGACCCACAAAGAAACTACCAAGCCAGATGTCTTCATTGGTGAATTCTGCCAAATATTTAAAGAATTAATACCAGTTCTTCAAAAACTCTTCCAAAAAATAGAAGAGGATGCCCTGATGCCAAAACCAGGTGAAACCAGATGAAGACATCAAAAGAAAACATAACAAAACTACAAACTAATATCTCTTTTGAGTATGGATGCAAACATTTTCAAAAAATATTCTAGCAAGCTGACTCCTGCAACACATAAAAACAATTATATACCATGCAAGTAAGATTTATCCAGAAATGCAAGGCAAATCAGCAACCAAAAGTCAATTAATAAAATTCATCATATCAATAAAATAAAAAATGAAAAACACATGATCCTCTCAACAGCCCAGAAACATCATTACAAAATTTCACATCTCTTCATGACAACACTCTCCACATACTAGGAATAGAAGGGATCTTCCTCAACCTGATCCAGTGCGCCTGTGAAATCCCAGAACTGACTTTGTACTTAATAGTGAAAGACTAAATGCTTTCCCCTGAAGATAAGAACAAGACAAGGACTGCTGCTCTTATAACTTCTATTCAACATTATACCGAAGATTCTACTGAAGAAAATTAGGCAAGAAGATGAAATAAAATCCAAATTGGAGAGAAGTACTATGATCTCTATTTGCAGATGACATGATCCCACACACTAAGGAATTCATTAAAATAATGAATCAAAATTGGGATGTGTCTCAATGCCATAGACTTTTTGTCTCAAAAATGATTCAAACTGTCCAACACTAGAGTTCACTGATCAAAATGAACTGTGGCTGGAAGTAGACCTCTAACTCACTCACTCCTAGATGGCCTCATCCAGGCTTCAAATGTGTATTTTGGGCCAAACTCCCCCACTTGCTATCTCACCTTGGATATTTAACACTTAACCTTCACATGGCCAAAGCAGAGCTCTTCATTATTCCCTCCAAATCTAACCATCCAAGAGTCTCCTTGATCTCAGTAAATGTCACCACCATTTGCTAAGTCAAAATGCTACAAATCACTTACTTTGATTTTGAAATAATTTCAAATCTGGAGAAAAGTTGTGTCTTAGTCTATTTGTGTTGCTATAAAGAGACACCTGATGTTGGGTAATTTATAAAGAAAGAGCTTTGCTTGGCTCACAGTTCCATAAGCTATACCAGAGGCATGGCTCCAGCATCTGCATCTGGTGATGGCCTCAAGATGCTTCCACTTATGGTCATGCACAGTGGCTCATGCCTGTAAACCTAACGCTTTGGGAGGCTGAGCCGAGCAGATCACTTGAGGCCAGGAGTTCAAGACCAGCCTGGCCAACACAGAGAAACCCCATCTCTACTAAAAATATAAAAACTAGCTAGGCGTGGTGGTGGACACCTGTAGTCCCAGCTACTGGGGAGGCTGAGGCAGGGGAATCACTTGGACCCAGGAACCTGGGAGGTAGAGGTTGCAGCTGCCACTGCACTCCAGCCTGGGTGACAGAGCGAGATTCCGTCTCACAAAAAGGTGTTTCTACTTACGGCAGAAGAGAAAGGGAGAAAGTGTGCGCAGAGATCACATCGCGAGGAAAAAAGAGAGAAAGGAGGTTCAACAAGCAGCTCTCACAGAAACTAATAGAGCAAGAACTCGCTCATTACTGCAAGAATGGCACCAAGCCATTCATGAGAGATCCACCTTCCTGACATGAGAGAAACACCTCCCACTAGGTCCGACCTCCAATATTGGGGATCACATGTCTTTTCATTTATTTATTTATTTTTCCCCAAGACGGAGTTTTATCCTTGTTGCCCAGGCTGGAATGCAGTGGTGCAATCTTGGCTCACCACAACCTCTGCCTCCCAGGTTCAAGCTATTCTCCTGCCTCAGCCTCCCTAGTAGCTGGGATTACAGGCATGTGCTGCCAGGCCCAGCTAACTTTTTGTATTTTTAGTAGAGACGGGGTTTCTCCATGTTGGTAAGGCTGGTCTTGAACTCCCTACCTCAGGTGATTCACCCACCTCGGCCTCCCAAAATGCTGGGATTACAGGCGTGAGCCACCACGCGCAGCCAGGGATCACATTTCAACATGAAGTTTGAAAGTTGCTTTCTTGCAACTTGTCATTGAGTTTGGAGATTACACCTTCCAAACCTCCCAGTGTAAACAGGAGCACCTATTTACCCTTAAACAGGATTCCCCACTGTTAACACTTTACCACATCCCATGTATGTGGTATATACCTTATCACACTCATTCTTTGCATATGTATTGCCTTTTTTTCTGAATCATTTCACTGTAATTGCAGATATGATGACCTATTACTCTTTGAATACTTTAGTGTATATGTTCTAACAAAGACACTGCCATACGTAACCATAGTACAACCGTCAAAATCAGGAATTAACATTAACAGAATATTACCATCGCAGATTCCAGTCACATTTTATAAATTGCCCCAATTATGTTCTTTATAGGTCTGGATCCAAATCAGGATCATGTGTTGCAGTTAGTTGTCATGTCTCTTTAGTTTCCTTCTATCTGGAACAGTTCTTCAATCTTTACTTGTCTTTCAAGACCTTGGCATTTTTGAAGAGGACAGGCTAGCGTGCAGTGGCTCCTGTCTGTAATCCCAGCACTTTGAGAGGCCAAGGCAGGCAGATTACTTGAGGTCAGGAGTTTAAGACCAGCCTGGCCAACATGGTGAAACCCCTTCTCTACTAAAAAATACAAAATTAGCTAGGTATGGTGGTACATACCTGTAATCCCAGCTACTTGGGAGGCTGAGGCAGGAGAATTGCTTGAACCCAGGAGGCAGAGGCTGCAGTGAGCCCAGATCATGACACTGCACTCCAGCCTGGGTGACAGAGCCAGACTCAGTCTAAAATAAATTTTTTTTTTTTTTTTTTTTTTTTTTTAAGACGGAGTCTCACTCAGTCGCCCAGGCTGGAGTGCAGTGGCACCATCTCGGCTCACTGCAAGCTCCGCCTCCCGGGTTCACACCATTCTCCTGCCTCAGCCTCCCAAGTAGCTGGGACTACAGGCGCCCGCAGCCACGCCCGGCTAATTTTTTGCATTTTTAGTAGAGACGGGGTTTCACCGTGTTAGCCAGGATGGTCTCAATCTCCTGACCTCGTGATCCGCCCACCTCAGCCTCCCAAAGTGCTGGGATTACAGGCGTGAGCCCCTTCGCCTGGCCTAAAATAAATTTTTTTTTTTTTTTAATTTTTTAAAGGACAGGCTAAGTCCTTTGTAAAATGTCAGTTTGGGTTTGCTCTGATGTTTCCTCATGATTTTTGCATTTTCGGCAGTGACAATGGAAAAATAGTATTATATTTCTCTCAGAGCATTATATTATGAGGCCCGTGATATTGACTTGCCCCATGAGAGGTGGCATTAACTTTCATCAGCTGACAGGCTTCTCCACTGTCAGATTAACTAATAATGGAATGTATTAATTAATATCAAATTAGTGAGCCAGGAGCAGTTCTGCACACCTGTAGTCCCAGCTACTCTGGAGGCTGAGGTGGGAGGATCCCTTGGGGCCAGGAGTTTGAGGCTACAGTGTGCTAAGATCATGCCTGAGAAGGGCCACTGCACTCCAGCCTGGGAGACAAAGTGAGACTCTGTCTCTAAAAGAATAATTAAATAAATAAATAAATACTTTTTAAAAATCAAGTTAGTATTTGATATACTCACTATACTAAATATGTTAGTAGGATATACTCTGCAACTAGGTCTACATTTATTAACTGTGATTGTATCGTAAGGTAGCACGTTTCCTTTTCCCTTGTTTATTTATTCATGTATTATTTGTATTTATATGAACTCATGGATTCTATTTTAATCAACGGATTACAATCTGTTCTTGTCATTATCTATTCTGAGGCTCAAAAAGCCCCAGATTTGGCCATAGGTAGTCCCCTTGAACAGCTTCTTTGATTGAATCCAGAATAACACACCATACTCCTTGGGTGGCCAGCATCCATTTTTCCCTCTTCCCACCAACAGCAGCCCAGATTTTAATGTTTATTGTCAACCAAGTGATTGGGTTGAGATGGACCCCACCTCAGCCCCAGGGGTATGCCCTGCTTAGCGTGAGCCAATCAGTGTACCCCATTATTCTCCAGGACACAGTGATTGGTCTGAGGGTGGGCAAATGACGTGTGATAACTGGCCAATGAGAACTGAGGAGACAGCTGATAGGCCTTCTGGGAAAGAAGCTTCCTATCTCTTTCCAAGGGAACTCTCTCTCCCTCTGATGGATGCGCTGTAAAGATGGTGAAGTGTGGGCCTGATGAAGCCATTTCTGCGGCCAAGAGAGAAGCGAACCTGAACACAATTTCAATATACAGAGGTGGGGAGAACGAAAAAGTGCAATAAAACAGGACTGGGGCTCTGGTGACGCCACACATTTCTGGATCATTCTGTGCCTGAACATGTCTGTGGACTGGTTATTTGAACCAGTAAATTACCTTTTTTAATTAGGCCAGAATGGGCTGAGACTTCTGTTGCTTGCAACCAAAAGGGCCCTAAATGATACACTCCCCCGAAACAGCAAAGGAAGGCTGCCTGTGGCAAGAAGCAAAAAGATGGGTTTCTGTTCCTTTTCACCAAAAACAAAACAAAAAAAAACCTCTAACGCTGCTGGTCTCCCCCACTGGTCTGAGAGCTTCTGGGGACATAGCCACTGTGTGCCCCGGCCTCTCAGAATAACGCATGGCTGTGGTGAGTGCTCAGTAAGCATTAACTGTGTGAATGCTGTTAAGGTTGTCTCGTTCATCGCTAAATCCGTAGCATCTACAACAGTGTATGGGACACACGACAGACATTTATTGAAGGACTACACAGCTCACCCCAGCATGCCACTGACACCCAGCCCTCAAATCCACCAAAGGAGAAGAAGCTGCGGCTAAAATCTTGCTTGACACTTTATTCTCCTGAGAGGGGAGCGCAGCAGAGGGAGTCGGGGAAGGGAGACTGGAGAGTGGATTCTGGACCGAGGAAGCGAGGAGCCGGCAGAGGTTGCTGAGGTTCCCGGGATCTGAGGACAGGAGCCTGTGCTTCTTCCACAGGACAGGGTGAGAGGGCTCAGAGGGAACCTGGAGCGGAGAGAACAGCCAGCTGTGGGCAGATGTGGTGGGTCCCCATGGGGAAGCAGGCACTCAGAATGTTACTTGCTTAAGGTCTCGCAGCCACCCGTCCCTACTGAACACACCCAGTGGCACATCCTGGAAGCCAGTCGGCAGCCTGAGCAGGTTGTGGGGCCTTGAATAGAAAAGTCACAAGCTCCAATGACAGGAAATGGTGGGGACCCCCGATCTGCTAGCACAGAATCCCAGAGCATTGGCAAGTGCCAGCTGAGCTGCCAAAGCCAATCACCAAGGCCCCTTTCTGGCCCCACTTCCTACAGCTGAGTCGTGTTCTCTCCAGGCACAGCCTGGGCAGTCATGGAGGGAAAGGCCTCACGCTCCCCTGCCTGAAGGGTTCCCTAGCCCAGCTCTCAGGACCCAGAATTGTGGGGGAGGATGTGGCCCCAGTTCCCGACCCCAGGGACCCATGCTGGGCTGGGGATTGGAGTTTGACTGAGGGTCTGATGACCTTGAATAGCCTCAGTCTGAGGACATTTCTCCAAGGTCAGGTCTACGCACACGGTGACCTCCTTCAATTCTCATTCCAATCTCAAAAATCAGGATTGCTATCTCCCCTTCACAGATGAAGAAACTGAAGCTCAGAGAGGTCAAGTTATTTGCTTAAAGTCACACAGCCAGGGAGAGATGGAGACCAGATTTTACTCCACGACCACCTGTGTCTAAAGCCCAAGCTCTAATCAGTATTTCTCAAACATTTCTAGCTAAAGTCCATCTGCTCAATTCTCCACACTTTCCTGTGCTGGGAGATGGGGGAGTAATGTGTCCTAAGAAGGCAGCTTTGATGTATCCTGGGGGAAACTGTCTCCACCCCTCAGGAGGCATCCCTGCTGTCACCTCTGCACTCACCCATAGAAGGTTCACACAACCTGAGGTCCACACAGATCTTCTGGGCAGTTTCTCCGGCCAGGAGGCCCTGGGTAACTCTAGGCTGATACCTCCTCATGAAATTTTTGCAGACGTCGCGCCATTGTGACTTCACCATCCTACACACACGGGCCTCAGCATTGGAAATGCTTCTCTGCAGCAGCAGAACCACAGTGGACATGGTTATAGGGTGAGTCCTGCGCAGCTCTGCCACCCTGCAGGTTCCAGCAGCCCTAGCAATGGGAGTACTAGGTGCGAGGAACTGGCACCTGGTGCCCATGGAGCCAGAGAGTGTAGACACAGGGCTGGGCCCCTACTCCCACTCTCCAAGGCCTGGCCCAAGCCTGGTCAGGTAGGGCTCCTGAGACAAGGACAGTTAGCCCTGCTGAGGTCTCAGCCCCTTGTCCACCTGTCCCCTGCCTTCTGTGTGGAGAATGGTGCCCGTGGCTGCCAGGCACACATTAAATGCTCTGCCATGTAGCTACCTGGGTCCAGGACCTGGCTGGGGGCTACAGCCAGAGGGGGTGCATAGAGAAGACTGGTGGGGGTGGGAGGTGTGGTTAGAGCTTGGAGTCTTGGCTCATTTGGTTTTAAAGTCTCTTTTATGCCATCCCAGGGCGGGAGGATGAATCTGGGTATCCAGGGTTAAGTGTGAGCCTGCAGTGCCAGGATGCTAAGAAGTTTCGGGGAGCAGAGGAGAGGGAAGGAGGGAGAGTGAAACAGTAATTCTTGGTAGTAACGCAGTCATTTGTTAAGCATTCACTCAGTGCTAGATGTGGAGCTAAGCATATCCCAGCCCTCAGCTCTTTTAAAAAGCTTCAGCAGCCAGGTGCAGTGGCTCACACCTGTAATCCCACACTTTGGGAGGCCAAGGCAGGTGGATTGCTTCAGCTCAGAAGTTGGAGACCAGCCTGGGCAGCACAGTGAGACCCTGTTTCTACAAAAGTACCAAAATTAGCTGGGCGTGGTGGCACACACCTGGAGTCCCAGCTACTTGGGAGGTTCAGGCAGGAGAATTGCTTGGGCCAGGGAGGCAGAGGTTGCAGTGAGCCGAGATCACACCACTGCACTCCAGCCTGGGTTTAAGAGTAAGATCCTATCTCAAGAAGAAAAAAAAGAAGAGCTTCGACAACTTGCGAGATAGGAACTATTATCCATCCCATTTCAAAGATAAGATAACTGAGGCTCAGAAAGTGGAAGTGACTTGCCCAAGGCCGTGCAGCTTCCAAGTAGCAGATCTGGGATTTATCAGTCCTGACTCAGGTCTCTTAGGGAACCAGCTTCTCAAAGCTCTGCCTTGGACACAAATGTTAGGGCTTTAGGGGAAGATTCCTAACTTCTCTGGGACAAGCCCTCTTTGAGTATACATGATGAAAACCGTGTATACTCTCTCTGACTTACACAGTTCCAGATAGTCACAAACAATTTCACAAGTTCTCTGAAATTCATCCACAGACACATGGGGACTCACAGATTCCCTTCTAGGAAGCCCTCCCCCAGGACCACTGTGCAAGGTGACCCCAGGCTCCCTGATCCCCGACCTGGTCACAGGCCGGCCCCTCCATTGAGCAGCAGACAGGAGGCTCTGTAGCCCCTCGGCCTCACCTGGGTGGGCTCATTCACCATAGCCTTCAGTGTCTGGATTATCCTCAGACAGATCTTGCAGTCGAAGCCCAGCTCCTGCATTTTGATCAACAGGTCACCCTGTCAGAAAAGAAAGCCCCTATCATGGTCTCTCAGACATTCTGGGAGTGCGTGAAAGTGACCAAGAAAGCGGCCCTTGGTGTTTCTGAGGCTGGCAGGAATGTCCGTGATCTCTTCCCAGAGCATGGATACACTGAAGGCCTGAACTGGCTGCCTGGACCCTGCCTGCCTTTTTGCTTGTCTTAGAGGCTCTGAGACACCCCAGAAACAGCCTCCCACACCCCCAGTACTTTCCCAGCCCTGCACTTGCCCCTCTCCTATTGAGGAACTCCCAGGGGAGTCTACCTATTTGGGTTCTGCAGCCCCAGGCTCTTTGGAGTGTGAGACCCCGGAGGATCCTCTTGGGACAGTCTACCAGGTATCTGTAGCCCTCCTGGCCAGACATGAATTCGACAAAACCAGCATCGTCAGAAACAGCCCAGCCTCCACTCCCACCTCCTGACCATTAGAGAGCTCCAGCCCTCACCCCAGGAGCCACCCAGGGAGGAGGGAAAGGAGAGGGACTGTGGCAGGTGAGCAGAGAGCCAACATGTACCTGGGGGCCCTCCTGGGCCAGGCACGGGCAGGATTGCTCCTTGTCACACAGGTGGGCTGTTGCCACTTCATAGTACTCAGGGCTCAGACGAGAGAAGACCAAACCTGAGGAAGAAGGCACTTCAGCTCCCCCTCCGCAGGTGGAAGGAGAGGGAAAACCCATTCTCCTGGCTGGTGGGAGTCCAGGAGGTGGCCAGGGCCTCGGACAGGGGCTGGGCCTTGCAGGGGGCCAGGATACCTGTCCACATGCTTTGCCCTGGAGCCGCTCTGACCCACTCTCAGCACAAACACATGTTCTCACTTTCCTTCTAGAAAGCCAGGAGGGCGGTGAGACTTTCTCTTCTCCTCTGTTCTGCCAGCAACACAGATTTGGGGGTCAGTTTGTCTAGAAACTTCCCTCAATCTCCTTTCAAGAGATTTTCTTTTTTTACCTTCCAGCCAGATGGCCCAGCCAAATCCACTCTCCCTTCCAGAAGTGTCCTTGCCCTTGGGGCTCACACTGACCCCAAGGCCTGGGAGACAGCAGGGTGCAGGGGGCAGGAAGTCTGCCTTGAGCAGGGAAGAGACCCCGTTCTCTCACCAGCCCTGCACAATCCTAGACAGTGTAGGCCTGAGGAAACGCAGATCCACCGATGAAGGCCAATGGCCTTCACCACACAGATGCGGAGGCAGGGCCTTGGGAGGGAAACGGGGGATCTCAGGCCACACAGTGTGGCCAGTAGAGTTAGGACCAGAATCCCTGGCCTGTCTCTCCTCCTTGGCCAGGCCACTGACAGGCTGGGCAACACACTGGGCTAAGCCTGGCTCTGAGGGGAGGGCCAGGTCTCCATGATGTGGGAGAAGGCTGGGGAGAGGCAGGGGCACCTGGGTGCCCACAGAGTCCATGCTCCGGGTTCAGCCAGCCTGAGAGTGCGAGGCTGGAAGGGCCATCAGGATCGATCCCGAGGGGAAGGCCTTACCTGGGTTGCCCAGGAGCATGGCTGCAAGGAGAAGGAGGGCCCAGGTAACCATGGTGGGGCAGCTGCTCAGATGCCTTTCACACCCTGTTTTGTGAGCAGGGAGCCTGCAGCTTAACCTTTCTCAGGTCCTGCCCTTTTTGTATGTCATCTTCCTGTGTCACTGGGTTTACCACAAGTACAAATACTAATTTATGAAGAAGCAGATCAGTGCAGTGGTAGCCCACAGGGTTCACGCCACACCCCACTCCCACACAACTAGAATGCCGGGTTGCTGGAGGCCAGCAGCTGCCTGGATGCTTGGGATGTGCTAATGGAGGGAGAAACCGCTTAGTACAAGTATGTTCCAAATACTTCGTGGGACATACTTATACTAAAAGTATAAGTGAGTCATCTCACTTGATCCAAAACCTATTTTTAAACAGCTTTTTAAATTTAACAATATACCACGAACATCTTTCCACATCTGTAAATATAGATCTTCTTCATCATTTCCACTGGTTACCTAATGGTTCCCTTTACACATGAACCATAGCTGGGGTCCTGTAACTCTGGGACTCATGTCCCCTGTAGTACTTTGGTTTGAAGAGCAGAGGCCGGGAAGCCTCTCCAAGGGCTCACCCGGTAGTCGAGTTGAGTGATGTGAAGGCCTTCTTCAGACAGGGTGCCTCAGCATCTCAAAATGGCAGCTGTAGCTCCTCCAGGCTACAAGGCCTGTTCATGTGGAAAATGGAAAGAGTGAAGCAGAAAGAGATGGTACTTGTATAGGAAAAACATCTTTCCCAGGGACCTTCAACCTCCATCTAATTGATCTGAACTGTGTCACATGATGACCCTGGCTGCAAAGGGCAATAGGAAGGGAGTCTAATGCTGGACCTTCACTGACACTTCGTTTTTTGTTGTTGTTTGTTTGGTTTGGTTTGGTTTGGTTTTTCTTTTTTGAGATGGAGTTTCACTCTTGTCACCCAGGCTGGAGTGCAATGGTGTGATCTTGGCTCGCTGCAACCTCCACCTCCAGGTTCAAGTGATTATCCTGTCTCAGCCTCCTGAGTAGCTGGGATTACAGGCGCATGCCACCACGCCCTGCTAATTTGTGTGTTTTTAGTAGAGACGGGGTTTCACCACGTTGGCCAGGCTGGTCTCAAACTCCTGACCTCAGGTGATCCACCCGCCTCAGCCTCCCAAAGTGCTAAGATTACAAGAGTGAGCCATCGCACGCGGCCTTCATTGACACTTTGAACAAAATTGGTATTCTGTTAGGGAGGATGAGGGAATGGGAATCGTATAGGCAATGGCAGTGTCAGTTACTGCACGACTTTTTTTTTTTTTTTTTTTTTTTTTTGATACAAGGTCTTGCTCTGTCGTTCAGGCTAGAGTGCAGTGGTACAATCACAGATCACCGCAGCCTCAACCGCCCAGGCTCCAAAAATCCCCCCACCTCAGCCTCCCTAGTAGATGAGACCATAGGTGCTTGCCACTATCACCCCTGCTGATTTTAAAATGTTTGGAAGAGATGGGTCTCCATATGTTGCCCAGGCTAGTCTCGAACTCCTGGACTCAAGCGATCCTCCCCGCCTCCAAAGTGCTGAGATTATAGGCATGAGCAACCATGCCTGATTTTGCAGGACTTTTTGATAAGGAAACATATTTTGGGAAGAATTGGTAGGACTTTGTAGCTATATGATTACAAGAAAGAAACAAGAGAGAGGTGAAATATTAGTGAAATATCAGGAGGCTGAGGGACTGGCTGTGCAAATTAGAAAAAGGAGCTTGTTGGTGAGAAGTTGAGTTTGAGGTATTGCATTTGTGGCTGGCTTGTTTCCCCAGATGTAAATCAACTGCTTGAGGGCAGGACTGCCTCTGCCTGTCAGGGTCTCCCCACCATGCCTAGAACAGCTCTCAGACCAACCGGCAAACTCCTTTTACCTCAGATGAGGAAAGCAGGACTCAGAGAGATCCAGTGAATTACCCACCAACACATAGCTAGGAAGGGAATAGTCTGTGGATATGAACCCAGACCCTATGACTCCAAAGCCCAAGTTTTCCCCCAGCCCTACCCTATCTCAGTCTCCAGGTTTTCAGTGCAGGGCCACAATCCTCTTGAGGCCAGCTCAGGCACTACTCCCCCGTCTCAGCAGGCTCCCTCTCTCCTGACCACTTGTAGACCTTGGTCTCATGTGTGAAGACCATATTAATGGGCAGAAAAAGTCTTGAAAGGTGACTCATGTCTCTTTATTGTGGGAAACTTGGTGAGACCAAATATTGCAGTGAGTCCTTTTCTGAGGTGTTGAGGGGTACGTGACAAAGCTCACGTAGTTAGTCACAAGTCTCCACCCAGGCCTCTGGGGTCCCGTGTGATAAGAACCTGGGGTCTTACCCAGTTCCCACCCATGGTACCCCGGGAACTGGCCCATTGCAAGTCAGGACCAGGCCCCCAAAAAATTCCTGTGTGAAATACTGCCTTCTGTATCTTCTTCAGAAAATCTTCACTTACGCTAAAGTCATAAAAATAGCCTCTATGTTTTTTTCTAGAACTTTTATAATTTTAACTTTGACATTTAGGTCTATGACTCATCTCAAATGAATGTATAATGTGAGTTGGGTTGAGGTTCTGTTTTTCAATATCAATTTCTTGAAAAGATTTTTCTTTTCCCATTGAATTGCTTTGGCATGTTGGTTGAATATCAATTGACTATGGGTCTGTTTGCGGACTCATTTTATCAACTACTACTGCAATAATAATAATATTATAATCATAATAAAGCAATCCAATTTTTTAAATGGGCAAAATATTTGAACAGGTAATTTGCAAAGGAAGATAAGAACAACCAAAACATTTGAAAACCTGCTCAACATCATAAATCACAAAGAAATTCCTTTTTTTGAGCTGCAGCCTCACTCTGTCGCCCAGGCTGGAGAGCAGTGGCATGATCTCGGCTCACTGCCACTTCTGTCTCCTGGGTTCAAGCAATTCTCCTGCCTCAGCCTCCTGAGTAGCTGGGATTACAGGCACATACCACCATGCCTGGCTAATTTTTGTATTTTTAGTAGAGATGGGGTTTCACCATCTTGGTCCATGCTGGTCTTGAACTGCTGATATCAAGTGATCCACCCACCTCGGCCTCCCAAAGTGTTGGGATTACAGGCACAAGCCACCACTCCTGGCCAAGAAATTCTGTATTAAAACTCTACTGAGATGATGTCATCAACATGACAGTAGCCAAAAGGCAGAAAGAGCCCAGGTGTCCATTGACAAATAAATGGATAAACAAGCCAGTCATCATGGCTCAACCTCTAATCCCAGCACGTTGGGAGGCCAAGGTGGGAAGATGGCTTGAGGCCAGGAGTTTGAGGCCACCCTGAGCAACATAGTAGACCCCAGTTCTACAGAAAAATTTAAGAATTAGCTGGGCATAGTGGCATGTGCCTATAGTCCCAGCTACTCAGGAGGCTGAGGTGAGAGGATTGCTTGAGCCCAGGAGGTCAAGGCTGCAGTGAGCCAAGGTCATGCCACTGCACTCCAGCCTGGGTGACAGAGTGAGAGCCTATCTCTAAGAAAAATAAAAATAAAAATTTTTTAAAAGGCATAAACAAAATGTGCTGTACATATACAATGGAGATGGAGTACGATTCAGCCAAAAAAGGGAACACAGCTCTGATACATACAACATGAATGAACCTTGAAATAATTATGCCAACTGAAATAAGTCAAACACAAAAGGATAAACGTTGTATGATTCCAGTTACATAAAATTTCTAGAATAAGCAAATTCATAGGGACAGAAAGTAGATTAGAGGTTACCCAGGGCTGGAAGGAGTGGGAAATGAGGGACTTAGTGCCCATTGGTTACAGACTTTCCATTTGGTGTGATGAGAACGGTTTTGGAAATAGATAGTTCCAAATAGATGATTCCACAACTTTGTGAGTGTAATTAATGCCACTGGATTGTACATCTAAAATGGTTAAAATGGTTAATTTTGTTATTTATTTTTATTAGTATTATTTTTAATTGACAAATCATAATTTTATATATTTATGGAGTACAATGTGATGTTTTGATATATGAATACCACTTAGAATGATTAAATCAAGGTAATTAACATATCTATTACCTCCCCTATCAGTTTTTGTGGTACACATTTTATGTTATATGTATTTTACCACAATAGAAAAAAAAATTATTTTAAAAGGCTGTTCAAAGAAAATGAAAGAAGGAAGAATAAATAAGTAAATAAAAGATTGTTTGCAGAAGCTTTTTCATAAGAGCCAAAAATTAGACATAAACCAAATGTCCATCAACAGGTCAATGGATGAAGAAATTAAGGTAGAGCCATGCAATATTGTACACAACTTGGCAATAAAAAGGAATGAACTACTAATACATGCAATAAAATGAATAAATCTTAAAAAAAAAAAAGGAAGAAAAAGAAGCCAGACATGAAAGACTTCATTCTGTATGATTCCATTTATATGAAGTTCTTGAACAAGCAAAATTCATCTATGGCAAAAGAAATCAGAGAAATGGTAGGAGATGGAGGAAGATGTGAGGGTTATTGGGCTGGCACCGGGATTTTCTTAGGTAGTGAAAGTGTTCTATATCTTAATTAGCTTGTGAATTGTGTGAGTGTGCATCTATCAAAACTCTTCAAACTGGACATTTAAGATTTAAGTGGTTAGCTACATGTAAATTATATCTCAATTCTAAAATTATCCAAAATTTTCTTTTTTTTTTTTTTTTGAGATGGAGTTTTCCTCTTGTCGCCCAGTCTGGAGTGCAATGGCACGATCTCGGCTCACCGAAACCTCTGCCTCCAGGATTCAAGCTATTCTCCTGCCTCAGCCTCCCGGGTAGCTGGGATTACAGGCATGTGCCACCACGCCCCGCTAATTTTGTATTTTTAATTAGTAGAAATGGGGTTTCTCCATGTTGGTCAGGCTGGTCTAGAACTCCCCACCTCAGGTGATCCGCCCACCTCGGCCTCCCAAAGTGCTGGG